ACGGTGTGAATCTGCTTATAGAAAGCGGCTTCCAGTAATTCTTCTATAAGTGGAGCCACGTCCCTGCCTGGCTCCCCCCGCGCGTCGCAGGGCTCAGCACCGCAGCCATGACATCAGTGCGTGTCCCCTGCGGCTGGGGGGGACAACCCCGTGGGCACCCTGGGCCCATGCAAAAACCCACCCTACCCACAAGCTCCCAGCCTAGCTCCTACCTCCCCCTGAAAAGCAGAACTGGGAGAGCTGGGAGGCAGCAGAAGCAAGAGCATGGCGCCGGGCAGCCCAGGGCTGGGCCAAAATTGGGTCCTGCGTTTGCAGGGGGCTGAGCTAGCATGAGGGGGGCTGGGCCATGTTGCAGAGTAGCCGTGCAAACCCATGTGCTGGTGCAAACACACCCAGCAGGGCCAACCAGTACCAGCGCCAGCCAGGGATGCAGCCCCAGCACTGCCACTGCTCTGCGCCTGTCCTCGCCCGAAAGATGCCCAGGGCACCCATAACGGGGTTATTGCCCCTCAGCAGGCTGTACCACCATGGGTGGCCAGGTTTCCACTCACTTGGCCACCTTCAAGTGATGTGCCTTCCTCCATCCCTCCCCCTGTCCTTCCCTCTATCCCTCCCTCTCTCCATCCCTCCTTTCATCCCCCCATCGGTCCCTCCCTGCTGTGGTCCCCATCGGGTGCCCAGGGCTCTGCCCTGCTCCTGAGCCGGGACCAGGCCACCTCCCCAGGGAAACAGGGGTTCCTGGGACATCCAGCGCAGGGCTGGCCCCGGCAGCGTGGGCTGTTAGAGAAGTTGCCTCTGAAGACTTTAAATCCCTGTCAGGGCCAGAGACACCCACGGCTGCGCTGGGAGGGGAAGCTTGGCGAAGGCGCCATGGAAGAGGTTAATCTGGGTCCTCTTGCTGCGCCTTAGAGGAAACGGTTTTGACAGCCAGGACACCCTGCTCAAGCGGGGACAGTGCTGGCGCGAAAGTGCTGGGGTGACTTGCTGGGACCCCGCTCACCCACCTTGGACCACTCGACACTGAGGATGTGGACTTCATGGCCAGTGTCCATGGAGCCGCTGCTGACGCAGCCCCGTGGCACCGTGCTGGTGGCATAGGACAGGGTGATGGGCGCCTCCGTCGACAGCAGCTGCAGGTCGCAGCCCTCGGCTCTCCCAGGGTCTGGGGGGAAAACAAGAGACTGTCAGTCCCCACTGCACAGACATGGGGTGACACGGCACGGGCTGGGGAATGATGTGGGAGGGGGCTGCATTGCAACGCCAGCCCCAGTGCTGCTCCCGCGCCCCCGGCACGGTGTCACCACAGCCCCACTGCTGGCACAGCGCCCGCGGGACCATCTGCTATGTATGTTCGTACGCCGGCCCCCAGCACAATCATGTTAATGACCCTCGGATCCGGGCTGAAAAAATCCACTGTCCCCGCTCGGCACTGCCGCGTGCCAAAACTCGTGCCTGGCTGCCCCGAACGCTCAGGCAGTGGCGGAAGCCCCCCCGCATCCCCCATGCCACAGGAAAGCGGGAAGCTCAGGTATGGAAATGGCCATAAAGCTCATCCTCTGCAGGCGCCGAGGCGCGAGCTTCGCCCCATCCCAAACCCCCTGCGCCGTGCACGAGCGAGAGGGGCC